CCCGCCGCCGCCTGTCAGCACCTGCTCCCGCGCCGCGGTCGGGCGGCTCCGGCGGCAGCGCCGGCTCCTGCGGTCCCGGCTTCACAAGGCTGCAGCGGCCTTTATCGCAGAGCCGCTTCTGGGCGGCCTGGTGTGTCGGCGAATAAACTTCCCGCATAGCCAGCTTTGGAAAGCTGCTGTTGGTATCTCAAGTCCCGTATTTGGACTTTAATGGTATTTCTCCTGGCGGTCGTTGGCCTCACTTCTTTGGAAACAAACGCAAGACGTACCTATCCGGCCAGCCTCTATCGATGGTGTATCCTTCAGACATCGCCCTTGTTTCTCTCAAGTGCGGTAGCAGCAAAAAGGCATTACATCACGTATCTTTAATCAGTTGTGTTGCGCTTAATGAGGTGCGTAAGGATGATAATTAGTAAGGAAAATTTTAAGGGGGTGGAATGAAACACGCTGTTACTATACAGGAACCAAAGGACCTGCAAACATACTGTGAAGAGTGAAGTATGTAGGGAACAAGCTCTAAACTCTTAAAGAGTTAGACGTTATGGTGTGGCATATGTAAACTCGTATTATACCTGGCCTCATTTATCTGCTAGACTGTAGCCTTTGGTAGTCTAGTTCCTCCCCTTCTTTTGCTTATTCGGTTTTTGAACGGAGGAGCATAGTTAATCAGGAACTTTTCTTTATCCCTTTATTGACCTGATTGCTAAGACACAAATTGTACTCCACCTTGAAGCTGTAGCCTTTCTTCTGCTTTAGAAGCTTTTTCAGCCTAATGTGCTGTTCCTGTTAGATTCTTGCCAGCTGGCTGCAGGGTGCTTGCATTCTGGGTTGCCATGGAGAGCTGTGTAATCTTCTCAGGATATAGAAGAACACGCTGAGTCTTGTACCTCAAAAAGATCAGTTAAAAGATTCTAGTCTTTCCTTGAATTTTGTCTGAAAGCTTTATACCTTTTGTTTAGGTCATAATTTTATTAGAGGTGAAAATGTCAGCAAAAAGGTCATGCTCCCAGTGCAGTCCCAAGTACTTTGCTTATGTATTTTTGTTGTGTGTTTGAACTAATTTGTAGGCCTGTACCAGTGTTTCTTCTTCCTGGTTCCATTAACTGTTACCTAGACTTCTGAACTGTGATTATGCATCCCTCTTTGGCGGGAAGGACTTTATACTTTCAGTTGCTTTTGTATACCGCTGAGACAAAACTTACCTGAAACTTAAGACAGCTTTATTGGACTAGAAGAAACGTATGTGGGTCTTGTCTGTTGCTTTATTTAAAATGCGGTTATTTAAATGCTCTTGTAACTCTTTCAGGCAACTTAAAACTACTTAGTATTGTACATTCTTGCTACTCTTGCTGGAGAATTACTTCAGAACTTGATGATTAGGTTAAAGTAATTTTTGAAAAGGTGTTGATAGGCATTTTACCATTTTGTTCTTGTGCTTTCATTGTCACTTGGCTTAAATTGTTATTTTTTTCTTTTATTTTGTTTTTTTCTGAGGTGTTTATAGACAACAATTCTATTTCCTCTTAGACTATCTTTTGGTAGTCAGCAAGCCAGTCTCTTCTAGTATTATTGTTGAGTAAAAGCACTGCAAAAAAGATAGAAAACTTGCTTCTTTTGGCATGTTGCAGAGGAGAACACCACAATTTTGAAAATGAGTCTTACCTCTCACACCTTGTCAGGGTGGGAATTTATTCTTATTTTGCTAGAACTGTTTCTAATGTCAGTTCTAAGCCTTTTCTTGTCAACAAATGACAGTAGACCAAGTTTCTAAACCAGCGTTCTTCAGGTCCCCATGCGCAATATGATTTGGAGAGCAGTTTGGCTCCCCATTAGTTAGGAAGGAAAAGTTTTATGAAGAAATGGGTATTTTTTTCTAAAAATAAGTGCTATCTGTCTGTAGTTTTAACTATTGAATGTGTGGGGAGCTTTTGTTTTACCCGGTTTATCTGGATTCTTCAGTTTTGCTTAAAACAGGATCATTTTTAGTTTCTCCTGGTTTTCCACTTTCTAAAATTTAACAGCAAAGAAGTTTTTACTTTTCTCTTCTTGTCATTCAGTTTTTTTTGTAGCAGTTGTGCGGTCAGTTTCACTTTCCACAACTTAGTCATTCCTGCCCAGATCTGGTAACTATGGTCTTGGTTTTAGTAGTCTTTAAGGTTAACATCTTAATGAAATTGTTTATATTTAGGAAGTAAGTACTGATCTTCGACTTTCTGAAATATTAACCTGTTATTGCTATTACTATTCCTGTGAATGAAAGAATAGAGGGATACAAGTTAAAGAAAAAAACCTCTTTTATTTAGGGACTTAATAGCAAGTCAGCTATACAAATGATCGACTTGAAAAACAAAACAAAACAAAACACTATTTTGTGGAAGACCACAACATTAGGAATGTAAAATACAGGAAAAATAGAAGTGGAAAAACTGGTAAGAGATGTTCCAAAACTTATGTCGTATTGAACAGATGGTTAATGTCAAGCTGCCTCTTGGGACTCAAATTTGGCAGTGTTTGAAGAATATGGTTCTTGTTCATATAAAACTTTTGTGTATTATAAGCCTTTTACTAACACGAAGGAAAAACTTCCATGCAGCTGAGTTACAGGGAAAATAAACCATACATAATCTACCAAGAATCTTCTCTAAATCTTTTTTATTTTTTCACTGTTTTTGTTTACGACATTTTTTTCTACCATCATTGTGCTGTTATACTGTTAGGAATTTTGTTCCTTGCATGCAACACTTTGGAGCCTATACCTTACCTAGCAATTCGTTGGTTTGTTAGAGGACAGGGTATGCTATTGTGACAATTGTATTTGTGTAATAACGTGTATAAATCTGTATAAATTGTATAATAATGTGGATAAATCTGTGGGCAATGGGGGCAAAATGGAGCCCAGTTCAGTATTTATGACACAGACTTAAAAAAAAAAAAGCAATGACTAGCTTCTGAATAGATTTGTACCTGCATCCCAAATGTTGGAATAAATATGCAAAGCAGTTTACGACTTGGCACCTCAACAAATACTTTTTTTTTTCCCTTAAATTTATGTAAGTGATGTGCCATAAATAAACTATACCTGTGTCGATAGGAAGCAAACAATAGGAAAAAAAAGTGTTCTTCTCACTATAGTATGTGTTCATCCTGCACTTTTACAGTTTTTACACATTGTAGTTGTATGTTTTTCAGCTGTAGACTCATAATAGAGAAGACAATTAATACTTGCTCTTAAGACTTGGGAACTGAGGGGCACAGGTGATGCACCAAGCAATGCTGCTGGCATTAAATGATGATGGATCATTTTGGTTGTGTAATAAAGGTTCTATGAGAGCTACATCTGCTGCTTGCAGGATAAAAACTTGCTGGAGTGGTAATGAGTTCTTTATGCTGAATGCCTGCTTAATCTCTGAGTGAGCATCAATGTGTGAAACAGAAAATTTGAAATAGCAGCTATATTGCTTCACTTAAATTGCTATTGTGTTTTACTACGAAGGATTTTTTAACATTTAAAAATTTGGTTTGATTTATGGAACCTTAATTTTCCCCTTTCTCTGCAAGATGCTTGTGCAATCTGTCTGTCTGCTTTCTTTCACTTATCAGGATCTCTTTTTAAGAGATGTTATAGGCCAAGAAGGAGCTGAGCCAAGTGGAACATTTTATTGGAGAGATTTGTGATCAACTTGCTCTATCAGCTTAAGTGCAAATAGTCAACATTTTGTGCTGAACTTCTGCCATCTGGTGTTCTTTCACATTGTATAACATGCTCCATTTCCCAAACTGAGTTGACCTCTCCCAGCCAACTTTGCCAGATGCCTTAAATAGTTCTATTTAGAAACCTATACAATACCTTTACTATGCCTAATAGGGCACCTTCGCATTTACTAAAGCTAATAGAGTTGGCCTGGAATTATGACAGTACTCTGAATGTACTAGCAATGAGGATATATGGTTTTTGTCACTTATATATTGCATCATTCTCCTAAGTTCCTGGCATCTCGTTTCCGCTCTTAATTATTCCATTTTAAGGAATCTACCTTTCAATCTGATTGCTGGGTGAAAATAGGGTGTTTAGTGTGAGTAAAGATACCAGATTCTGGCCAGAAATTTGAATGTTCCTTAACTGAAAGTTTTAAATTTTATTTAGCTTTTGGTGTGATACACGTTTCTCTTGTTGCATAGTATATGTGCAGGTTTTTATCTGCTGCTT